AAAAAAGAATCCTCTGAGTCTGATAGTCAACCTGGCAGTCCCTCCAATTCTGAGAAATCTTTACAGGAAGAACAAACCATTAATTTAATCAAACAAGTCCATTTCAGGAAATGGTATTCTAAAATTACTATAGTTGTTAAAAATTTTGAATTCAAAATGGTTGCCTTATTTGAATCAGAAGCTGATCTTAATTGTATAAAAGAAGGTTTAATTCCCACTAAGTATTATAAGAAATCTAGAGAATCCTTAAGTACCGCTTCAGGAAAGTTACTTCAATTAAGCTATGAGATCCCAAAAGCCCATGTTTGTCAGAATAAAATTTGTTTTAAAACTTCTTTTGTTTTAATTAAAAATATAACTGATAAAGTCATTCTAGGATTACCTTTTATAAGCCTTCTTTATCCTTTTCAAGTTGAATTTGATGGTGTGGTATCAAGTCATTTAGGTGAGAAAGTTAAATTTGAATTTTTTTTTGGCATAGAAAAAATCATGTTGTAAGTTTACCTTATGTTAAGAATTTTTTTGAGAAAAATATCCCTACTAAAGCTCGACCAATCCAGATGAGTCAAGAAATATGGAATTTTGCAAAACTGAGATTAATGAGTTATTACAAAAAAAATATATATATAATTAGAAAAAGCAAGTCACCATGGTCATGTCCTACTTTTTATGTCCAAAAGAATGCTGAGTTAGAAAGAGGTTCTCCAAGATTAGTCATTAACTATAAACCACTTAATACTGTGTTAGAATGGATTAGATACCCTATTCCTAATAAAAGAGATTTAATTAATCGATTAAGCAAAGCTGTTATCTTCTCCAAATTTGATATGAAGAGTGGGTTTTGGCAAATCCAAATCACCGAGTCTGACAGATACAAAACTGCTTTTGTTACTCCCTTCGGTCATTACGAATGGAATGTTATGCCTTTTGGTCTTAAGAACGCGTTTCAAAATATAATGAATGAGATTTTTAATCCTTATAGTCATTTCTCTATTGTTTATATTGATGATATTCTTATTTTCTCCCAATCCATAGAACAACATTGGAAGCACCTGCGTAAATTTTTCCAAATAGTCAAGTCAAATGGACTAGTTGTATCTGCCCCTAAGATTAAGCTATTCCAAACCAATATTAGATTCCTTGGCTTTAATATTAATCAGTCGCAGATCCGTCCGATCGATAGAGTTATCCAATTTGCAGATAAGTTCCCTGATCAAATAATTGACAAAAATCAGTTGCAGAGATTTTTAGGTTCTCTTAATTATGTTTCTGACTTCTATCAAAATCTGAGAAAATTGTGTAAACCTTTGTTTGACAGACTACAGAGTAATCCTCCTCCTTGGTCATCCATTCATACTGAGATAGTCAAACAAATCAAGAGTCATGTTAAGACGCTTCCTTATCTTGGCATTCCTACAACAGATTCCTTTAAAATAGTTGAAACAAATGCTTCTGAGATAGGATATGGTGGGATTCTTAAGCCAAAAACTACTTCTCCTCCTTCTGAGCAAATTGTTCGCTTATATTCCGGTGTTTGGACCCAGTCACAATCTAATTATAGTACTATAAAAAAGGAAATACTAGCTATTGTACTATGCATTACTAAATTCCAAGATGATTTATTAAATCAAAAAATTTTAGTCAGCATTGATTGTAAATTTGCTAAGCCTATATTAGAAAAAGATGTTCAAAATATTGCATCAAAACAAATTTTTGCACGTTGGCAAGCTATTTTAAGCATTTTTTTATTTTGAAATTGAATATCTGAGAGGAAGTGAGAATAATGTTCCTGATTTTCTTACTAGAGAATTTTTGCAGGATAAGCAATGGCTAGCAGAAAAGATAAACAAAAAGAGAAACAAAACCAACCTTCCCAGTTGCCCGTTATAAAATTCCCTGGATATTAAAGTGGCATTATGCAGTTAATTGGGAGACAAGAACCTTCTCTCGCCAATTTTCCGTTAAGTGGTGGGATAGCTTTGAGATTCCCTGAATTGCTGAGTATGTTTATAGAGATTTTCCTCGAGTTCCTGCACCTCAGTTGCCTAAGCAGAAGTCCTCCTCTTCTCAATCCTCTCAAACCTCCCTCTCCGTCGAAGGAAAGTCTAAAGCTGAGCTCCAAGATATTGCACATCAACTGATGCTCCAAGCCTCTCAAATGAATGATGATGAAGACAATGAGTCTCAGTCGTCCTCCAGCTGTCGCCCTCTCTCCTCTAGTCAAAAAAGTCCTGATCGCCCTTTAAGATGGTCTGATTATCCTCATGGTCAAGACCCCAATAATGACTACCCTGCTTATGACCTGAATTTAGACTAAAAGCAAATCCTTCATTATGAGATTCCCCTGAGTTAAAGCAAAAGGTGACCAGTAAAAGCATGAGCAGAAGACAAAATTGAAAGTTGAATTGATTGAAAGTTGAATTGATAAAAGTAGATTCCCTGAGTTAAAGCTGCAGTCTCTCTTCCCGTGTTAAAAAATCCAATTCTAGTTGAGTTACTTTACCGTAGTTATGTAATCATAGTTGAGTTTGCTTTTCTCTTATTTAAGACGGCTTCAGCCTCAGTTGTATTCAGAATCTAAAAGAGCGAAATTTTAGTTTCTCAGTTTAAATGTTCTCTCAGAAACAATGATCTGAAGAACAACAATAGGAACTCGTGAGCTAGCTTTCAATCTTTGTAAGCCAACATTCTCATAAGCCTATTTTCAAGTTATCAATATATTTTGAGTATTTTAAATTCATATCATTATGTTATTGTTTTTATGTTCTATATTTGTATTTTCATTAATTAGGTTCATGCATAAGCTTCGCTTATTCTATTATGTATGTCTCATCACTATCTATGCTAATCCTTTCTGGTTCTAGACCCTTCGGGTATCAGAGCCATAAGAGTTGTGAGAGTTCGTCTAAGTTGCAACTCATCCAACCCAAGTGGCTGGTTTAGGTTTTCTGAGTTGAAGTTTTGTAGTTTTCTTCTTCTACTTCTTTTATTCTTCAAGACAATTATTTGTTTTCTCTCTTAAGGTCTGACTCGTGAGTCCTCTTTCCAAACGATAAGTCCCCAAGGTAGGGCACGAGCGGTGGGCAAAAGACAGAGAGTTAGGGAGAAGATCAATAGGTTTCTTGTTGAGTAAATGGTCGGTCTTGGAGCATGAACTGAAAATGAAGACCGGTTCGGTCCGGTTCATATAATATCTTGCAATAATTAACTTTACTAATTAGTATTTGAGACATTGGGCATTTTTGTTTGGGTTTTAATACCTAGAAAATAATTGTTATTTTGGATTAGGCCTAAGAAGAGGCCCAGATTCATTGGGCCTGTCAAATTTATAAAGGTAAAATACATTTGTACCCTTTTTGTTTAAAACACTTCCAAAATCAGATCTCACCCTTTCTTTCTCTCTCTTGGACAGATGTGGCATAGCGACTGCCTCAGATCATGGCTTCTCAGGCCACCTGCGATGACGACTGGTAACAAGTAGGGTACAGTCTATGCTGTTATGGTTTCTAACTTTCATACGGTTAGACTTGAGCTATTTTCTACAGGTTATATATCTGATTTCTTTCAATTTAACAGACTGGTAAAGTTGCTTGAGGATATCATGGATGACATCAGAATATTGATATTCATGGATACTAAGAAAGGATGTGATCAGATCACTGGACAGCTCCGCATGAATGGTTGGCCTGCTCTCTCAATTCATGGAGACAAAAGTCAAGTAGAAAGGGATTGGGTCCTCTCTAAGTTTAAAGCTAATGACTGCAACAGATGTTGCTGCTCATGGTCTAGGTATGGAAATAATTTCTTTTGAGTTTGTCAAAAGACTTGAAAGGAATTGTTTTTTTGTGTAAACTTAGGAAAATATCAAACCCCTACCTTGGACACCATTTCATTTTGCTCTTTCCTATGTTTTATCTTGAGTGCTGCTAAACAAACTTTAAAATTAATTTAGTACATGGGATGAGACCCACTCCACGAAGAAGATTACTATTTTTTGATTAATAAGGCTATTTGAAGCAGTCAATTGATACTTGGTTCAATTTTTTCTTGTGTGTGTGTGTAGGATGCTTGGGTATTTCGAGGAGATCAACTCTCCTCCACCTGTGAGAGCCTCTTTCTCTTTCATTCTCTTTTAATGCATTTTCATGTATTTGGAATTGGGGGTTTGAAAATATTGTTAATCCTTACGATTTTATAGGTTTTTCTTTTTCTTTTTGATACAAGTGATTATGTTTTTGGTCAATTTTGTGAAAATCAAAATACTTGAGAAAAAAGAAGCTGCTTTGAAGAATCAAACTCAATTTCATCTAGCTGCTTTGGAAATGGTTGATGCCATCACTGTGATATAATATCTTGCAATACCATTTAAGCTTTAGTCCAATGAAATTTTACACAGGTTCTACATTGTAGTTTTGCACAAACTACATTGCAGTTTTGGTAATTACAATTGGATTTTTGCTCTTTCCTTGGCCTTCAATCTCACCAATTTGAAGAGTAGAGGCTACCCAGATGAGGAATTGGGTGGGCAAGAGAAGAGAGAACTACCCAAGAGAATGGAACTCAAAATTGGACTTTTGGAAACTGGAAATTGCATTGCAATTTTCATTTAATTACAATTTGATTTTTGTTCTTTCCTTGGCCTTCAACCTCACCAATTTGAAGAGTATAGGCTACCCAGATGAGGAATTGGGTGGGCAAGAGAAGAGAGAACTACCCAGGAGCAAGGGAATTCAAAATTGGTCTTTTGGAAACTAGAAACTGCATTGCAGTTTTCATTTAATTACAATTTGATTTTTGTTCTTTCCTTGGCCTTCAACCTCACCAATTTGAACAGTAAAGGCTACCCAGATGAGGAATTGCGTGGGTAAGAGAAGAGTAGAACTATCCAAGAGCAAAGGAACTCAAAATTGGACTTTTGAAAACTGGAAACTGCATTGCAGTTTTGGATTGCAAGTGACGATAAAACAGATAGGGACATCTGCAGTCTTCGGAGGGTGCTGATTCAGTCTAATGGAATCTCTCTGATGCATTTTCAACATTTTTGCACTGCACTGGATTTTTGTGTTCTTGTGTAATTGTTTGTTTATGTTGGTTTTTTTCTTTTAAAATCATAAATTTGAGTTGTGTTGGTAGGATTGTTGGTGGTAATTTGTTTTTATTGCAATGCAGAAAACGGAAACTGCAATGCAGTTTCCATTTAATTACATTTGGCTAAATTGTTTTATCATTGGATATTGGTATGATTTTTGAAGTTAATGGAAATTATACAATTGTCATCAATGAATATGTCTTTTTGACTTTGTTTAGTTGCTTGTTTTCATGATGGCTTTGCCTTTTGGTTTGTTTTTTTTTGTTAGTGTGGTTGCAACTTGATTAGAAATTGCAACGCAGAAAATGGAAGGAACTTTTGTTACCTTGATATGTTTCCATTGCACGTTCCAATGTCTTTTCAATGAGCATGCTTAGTGTTACTAGTAATCCAGCTGGGCAGGCAAGTGACAAAGAACGTAGCTATAATTCTTTTTTATTAAATCAATTTGATACAACTCTAATACAAGGATTGCCACTTGCCCTTTGCTTGTTTCAAATATATTTTCTCCTTTTATTTAGGGCATGTACTCATCACTCAAGTTTGGAGGTTGACGCATCTTATTCTATGATCGTTGTTCGTTGTACATAATTTGGTCTTATTTTATATAGCACAAACGTCGTTTTATATAGCACATAATTAGGTCAGGCAATGATCTAATTTAGTTGCAACTAAAGCTCACTTACTATGCATTTGTCTTGATTTGGAAATGGTTGATGCCATCACTGTCATATAATATCTTGCAATAGCATTTAAGCTTCAGTTCAGTGAAATTTTACATAGGTTCTGCATTGTAGTTTTGCACAAACTACATTGCAGTTTTAGAAACTGCATTGCAGTTTTGGTAATTATAATTAGATTTTTGTTCTTTCCTTGGCCTTCAACCTCACCAATTTGAAGAGTATAGGCTACCCAGATGAGGAAGTGGGTGGGCAAGAGAAGAGTAGAACTACCTAAGAGCAAGGGAACTCAAAATTGGTCTTTTGGAAATTAGAAACAGCATTGCAGTTTTCATTTAATTACAATTTGATTTTTATTCTTTCCTTAGCCTTCAACCTCATCAATTTGAAGAGTAGAGGCAACCTAGATGAGGAATTGGGTGGGCAAGAGAAGAGTAGAACTACCCAAGAGCAAAGGAACTCAAATTGGACTTTTGGAAACTGGAAACATCATTGCAGTTTTTATTTAATTACAATTATTTTTGTAGCTGTTTTTGTTTTTGCTTTTGTTTTTTTAAAACATAATTGATATCTACATTGTATTTTTGTTGCAGTTTCTGTTTTTATTTGCAGTTTTTGTGTGAACAAGTGTTTATGATTGTTTTTTTTTTTTAAACCGTTGATTGTTTATATAAATACTGACTGAATAAAAATTACAAAATCAAGTTTGGTGTAGTGGTTTGTGAGTGAGCATTCCTCTGGTCAAGGTTCAAGTCTATTCAATGACACAAAATCTTTTTTTTTTTTTTAAAGGTGAATAAAGGGCAATGGAGTTGGTCCCTTGTAGACGGTTGCAGGCCGGTGACGGGCTGCAGTGGTGGCAATGGCCGGCGGCGGAATTCCGGCGGTGGTGGCCGGCGGCAGAATTCCGGTGGTGTTGGCCGGGGACAGAATTCCGGTGGTGGCCGGCAGCGGGATTCCGGCAGTGGTGGCCAGGGCGGGATTCAGGCGGTGGTGGCCGATGGCAGGTGGGCAGTGGTGGTTAGCTAGATATGGACATGTGGCATAATATGCTTACCTTAGAAGGAGTGGCATTGTGTGTTATTTTGATATTTTTTAGTGATATTTTTGTAAAATTAGGTGCCACATTTGGTCTTTGGCCTTATGCTAATTAGATGAAATTGTATTCTTATCTTCCAGATTAGTAAACTATATTGTGTTTTAAAACTAAAGCTCCCAAAATTGTATTATATAATATATATTACAAATCAGCCCAAAATTGTATTATATTACAGACCTGCCCAAAATTTAATTATATTACAGACCTGACCAATTTGTTCATTATCAAATAGGCCAAGCCCAAATTTAAACTTCAACCAGGCTTTTAACGCATCAAAATCGATCCAACTTTAGCAAATATAAATGACAATCCAACTTCAGCAAAATATAAATTACAATCCAAATTTATCAAAATAAGCTCCAAAATAAATTAAAATCTTACTGCAGCAAAATATAAACAAAATACAAGCATGCAAAAACTCCACAAAGGCATGTAGTCCCAAGTGTTGCAACTTAATTAAATTCCTCCTAACATTGAAAAGTAGTTGGGGCAAACTTGGGAGGCGTGGATGAACTCATAATATCTATATATATAAAAAAATAATAATAAACCAATTAAAACATTAGTGAAACATACAAACTATATAATACATTAATAAAGCACATAAAATTACAAAGAAATACATAATTCAATGGATTCATAGAACTCCATATCTTGAATTGTTGGCTCATTTTTTAAAGAGAATATGTCATCTGACCTTAACCAATTTTGAGTGCTAAAGCATGATTCCGAAGCCACAGTTGATACCGGGATGGCAAGCACATCCTTTGTAATAAGTGTCAAACCTGGATACTTAACCCCATTCAATTTCCACCACTTTAAACCATCGAATTCGTCAACCACATCTTCAGTAGGGTCAGTGACGTACATATCAATCTCATGCTCCAATATCACAAAATTATTTGCTTGAGTCTCTTTTCTCCAATTTTCATTCATTTGCCTTCATTTCTTTCCCCCTCGACTTAGGCTACTACTTGTTATATTTATGGTAGTAGTATCACTAGAACAATAACTGCTACTTTGAGTGGATGGTGGTGGTAGTGGTGGTGGTGGCATGGCATACACCTCATAAAACTTCTTTAAAATCTCTTTGATCTCATTCTTCTTCTTAACCGCATCTTCCGGATTTTCAAATCTGCTTTTCAAGATAAACTCCAAGTTCCCCAATTTGTATCGCAGGTCAAGAACAAGAGCAACCATCAAAATTTGGTTCAATTTATCAACGTCACCCCAATACTTTTTAAATTTCATCTTCATGTTAAGTGTCATGTCCTTCAAAACCTTAGAAGTTTAGGCTTCACTTAATATTTCCTCCTCTTCCATCAACAAATCCTCAATTTCTTCTTCCATTGCAATCAAGTCGTGAAATGTGGTGTGGGAAGCGGGATGCAAAGTGACACTCATCTTCAATATAGTCTCATAAAATACCTTTAAAAAATTCACAAATGTACGAGCATTGTTCCAATCTATCATTAGGTGGTGGCTCTTCCTTTTTTTTAGAGTAATGAGATATAATCACTCTTCAAGAACCGGTTCATCTTCACCAAACCAAGAAATATATGGGCCTTCATTATCTTCTCTCATTCTCCAAAAGACTTTTTCAAACTTTAAAGCGGCTTCCAACATCATATATGTGGAATTCCACCTAGTTGGCACATCCAACACCACAAGCCCTTTGCATGCAATTTGCTCCTTCTTAACACAAATCTTAAAGTCCTCTAACCTTTTGGGAAAAGATCTTACATACTTCATAGCATTTCTTATAAAAAATATGCTTTTCTCCAATTTTTTCAACCTATCACGAACCAAATTCACAATATGAGCACAACACCTAACGTGCATGTACTTTCCTTCTAATACAAGACTACTATTTCCCCAATGACCCATTTTCGACTTCAAGTAATCTATTGCCTTTGTGTTTGAAGAAGCATTATCGGCCATGATGGTTAGTATCTTCTTCATATCCCAATTAAGCAAACATGACTTGAGAAGTTTACCAATTGAGTTCCCCTCGTGATTGGAAATGACACAAACGTTCAAGAATCTTTTGTGCAAGTTCTAATCACTATCTATGAAATGTGCCGTGATTACCATGTAATTTATGTTTTGAACACTTGTCCAAGTGTCCATTGTGAGGCATAGTCTATGTGGTGCTAATTCTTCTTTCAATTTTTGTTTCATGGCATCATACATTACCATGAAATGCCTCATAAGTGTCCTACGAGATGGCACTTGGAAATGGGGGTTCAAAGAATTACAAAACCGCCTGAACCATTTTCCTTCAACCACACTAAAAGGCATCTCATCCATTACTACCATCTCTACACATAACTTTAACCACTCTTCTTTACCATGCACCGTCAAAAGACAAGAGTTTTTGCCATTTATATTTAGGAAACCTCCCCAAATATTTCTTAAATAGGTTCTCAATATGCTTCCTCAAATTTAAGGTCCCATTTCTAGTGAAGTCCACCGCATAGCTAATAGAGCAATACTTGTACCTAACTCTCTTCTTAGTTGTTGCATATTTGCTCCCATCCTCCTTCACACTCTCAACCACATCTCCATATCTCTCAAAGTGATCCCATACTTCCGATTTTTCTTTTCTTGGGTTGAAATGAGGTAATGGTGGAAGACCACTCAATGG